TTTATAATGACATGAGGGTGAGTAAATGAGGACAGATTTTTCATTTTTGGGTGAACTATCTTGTTAATATAAAACAAGTTAAATTTAGCAGTTGGAAGTAAGCTGTTTTCTTTGAAAGAGTGAGACTTCCTATTGTAGTTTTAATGAATTTTTGTATATTCTCTGTTTTCATTTTAATTTAGTTAGTTTATATATATATATATATATATATATATGATAACAAATACCAATTTGCAAAATCAAGCAGCATAACATACTATTTTTGTGCAGGTAAAATAACTAGAAGCGAATGACGCTGGACGATTCGCACATTCAAGTTACAAATGGCCGCACCTGCTGGATAAAGCAGTATGTTTTCATTAAATAAGCAGTAGAAAACAGAATGCACGCAAACACAGACGTCTCCAGTCTTCACTGTGAATCTGTGCACCAGCCTTTATGCATCATTGCATCTTCCCATAATGTCCAAATAGTCCACAAAGCACAGAAGAGCCTCGCCAAATGAGAAATCAATAATGTCAATAGGAACGCATTAAGATGGGCAGCCGCTTTTGAGTGGCCAACCCTAACCGTGGTCATTCCTCCATTTTTTTTCCCGAAATGTTTTTTTAAAAATATGTCTGCACCATTAGTGCTATTTTTAGGGAGTGACTCTTGATGATTGTATGTCAGGATCTCATCAAGCATCTCAGCGTCTCTCAGCTGCGGCGGGTGTTTGTGCTGCACATGTGGACGTCGAGTCTTTGTTGTGTTCTGCCTCATTTATTCCAGAACAATGACAAAGATTCCCCATATCTGTGATCCACTCCAGCACAACACAGACAAACACAAACACAATCACAGTTGTTTTTGCTGCAAGTAAGATTAATATGACTGTTTTTATTAGGCAACTGTGCTGACCAAGGGGCACTTTCCCCGAAAAATGAAGGTTTTGTCTTCATTTACTCACCATTTAATGTCAAAATTGAGAGTGATTCTCATTTTTGAGCTGATGTTTTCTGCTGAAAAGTCTCCTGCAGCTCTTAAATGTCATTCATGCCTCATATCCCTCTACAGTATAACTTCAGAAGTCTTGGAATATAACACGGGTCGACTACTTTTATGATACTTTTATGGTGCTATTTTGTTATTTTTGGAGCTCGACACCCTTAAACATCAAGAATTGAAAATTAAATAATGGGAACAATAATAAAGCAGGCAAAAAATTATGCCATTCATAAACATTGTGCAAAAAAAAAATATATATATATATATATTTTTTATTTTATTTATTTATTTTTTATTTTTTTTTTACAGAAAACATCTCATTCAAACCTAAAGGTGACATTGTCTTTAAAATAATCACCATTACTCCAGTCTTCAGTGTCACATGATCTTCAGAAATCATTCTAATATGCTGATTTGCTGCTCAAGAAACATTTCTGATTATTATCAA